TGCCCCCATTCCATCATCTCATCCATCTCCAACTCCATCCCCATTCCATCATCTCATCCATCTCCAACGCCACCCCCATTCCATCATACCATCCATCTCCTACTCTTTCCCCCTTACCCAATTATCACAAACTGTTTCCCACCCCATTCATTACACGTGTCCACACTTACATTATCCGTGTGTGTACATACAGTGCAGAAGTGTACAGTTAACATGTACATTATCACGTATCTTGTAACACAATTGAAAACAATGCTTCAAAGCAATGGTTCCACTTAAACTTCTGATACTGATAAAACTCAAGATTGGAACAAGCCTAAATGACATATACCAGGGGTGTGAGTGGCCAGTTAATAACAAAGCTAAAAAAAGCTAACAAAAGGATGAAATGTAAAATTCTACTTCCGGTACTTTTGTACAGACCAAAACAGCTGCAATTGGGGGGTCAACATCTACACAAAAAAGCTGAAATCAGCTAAACAGCTGAATTCTCACACCCCTGATATACAATAACCCGCACACCTATGAGCACAAACTTTAACCACTTCGCACCAGGGAGCCCGGTTTCGCAATGCCGGGCTGCCTGAAATCGGACAAAAGAGCTGGGCCTTGTAACAAAAAACTGAATCGGAACAAAAGACTGAGCTGCTGGGAATTGCCAACATTTTTCAGTTGTCAATAGCAAAGGAAATCAATCATTGTTTTGAAAGATTATACTGCTGTTTGTGGCATTACCACCGGGGACAAAAGCGCTCCAGTGATGAGTGATACAATACTGCTGCATGCTAATCTGGCCCCTATTGAAAAGACGCCAGCAGCACACTGTGCCAGTTTCAGGAACAGAAAACTACGTAACACCACACAATCTGGGCTCTTTTTACAAGGCGGCAGGCCTGGCTGAATTACTCCGGCATCAATAGATGTTGTCTGTTAGATTAGAGTAGCCACCAGACAGTCATTCATGTGAATGTCCAGTAAATGAAGTTATGAATATTTTAAGAATTTTGAAATGAGAAAAAAATGAAAAATCACTAGGCCAAGAATAAACATGGAAAATGGGCCCGGTGCAAAGTGGTTAATGCGAGGCAGATAGCCAGCTGGACAGACTGACAGATGTCCCGACAGGCAGAAAGAAACACAAATAGATGGACAGAAATCGGTATTACATAGGCTCGCATTTGCTTCACAGCTTAACAAAAATGAAAACACAGACTTACATCATTCCATTTTCTCTCTCTGTCTTCTCTAGAATTCGATGAACGATGGGCCCCAAACGTAAGAAGAAAGGATGCTGCTGTGGTTTAGCCACTACGCCAGGACCTTTTGTTTTTGCGTATTCTTTGGCCAAATCCTCTGCCTTGTGAAACACTACAAAACATGTGAATCCATAAGGTCAAATAAAGGCTGATTTCAACCAAGTCTAAATAGCTTCCAAAAGGAAAAGAGAATAGTGAATGCATGTGAATGCATTTAAATATCATTCAGGAAGCCGTTTAACTGAGAACAGCAGTTAATGCTTCTAGCTTTTTTAAATTAACAAAATCCTACGGCTACAAAATTTTAAAATGGACTTCAAAAAAGAAAGATAATTAATATACGATTTACAAATTTTCCGGGATAATTTTCCTTTTTAATGAAATTACTGGTAATGCTAAACTGACTCACACGCCATTCCCTCCTTCAGTGATCTGACAGCCTGTCCTCCTTTGTCTTTGGCAAGTAATGTATTGCCATTGTAGCAGTGTGCCTTAATGAATTGAAAATTGACATAAAACCATCATTGTTTGAATGATACACAACGTATGTGTTACTGTGTATCCATGAACTTCAAAATTCCCTTGTCATCAAATCCCCTTGATGACATAGATAGACTGGCCGAAAATCATTCAACTGTGGATTTGCACTTGCAACGCAAAAACAAGTTTCTGAAATTTATATCCCACTTAAGCATACATATATGTGGAAATATGCTACATGGAAAAAGGTGATGTGCCGCCGACATAATTCAAAGTAATCTTCATGTAGAAACTAACCATAGATGATCTACATATATGGGAATTAAACAACTGATATTTGGGGGGGATTATAAATTGCAATGTCAAAGTTTGCCAATCACTGACATTTTTATAATCACTGTATAGTGTGTGATAACTTGTGGGAAAACATAGCAATGGGAATATAATATAGTTTTCGTAAATTTACAAGAGTGATTGACACAAAACAATTGAATCCTAAAGATGCAAAGATCAAAAAAAAAATAGCCACGTAAGAACAAACAACAGTAATAACAAAAAACACACCCTCAAGCATGTAGTTTATAGGAGAGAAAATACTTACATATGACTCGTAGAAGACACTTTTGAATTGGAAGTATTTCCTCCATTTCATGACTAACTTTTCATCCAGAGACTTGAGTGCGTCATCAGCCGATGCAAACAATTTACTTGTCTCAATGGCTAGAGCTGCAACAAGGCTTGGGGTGTGCTTCAGTTCAATAGCTCTTGCAAGAGTCACTGAAAATTGGTAAGTAGAAATATTCCACTTCACAACTTAGCCGGCAACATATGATATTCAAAATATTATTGAACAAAATAAGCTTTATGTGGTGGTAATAAAACTACTTTGTGCATGCATTTGTGAATAGTGAACATTTGTTTATAAAATTGCAAGTCAATGTCCATTCTTGGGTGTATTTTTTCTTATTTTAAATTAGAGAAGATCCTCTTCAGCGCTAATGCCTATACAGACAAAACATGCAAAAATAGTCACTAAACCAAAACCTCTATGTCCAAAATAACTGAATATTTTTCGAATAAAAAAAGGCTTGTGATTTATTTTATCAAATGATATTTGGGATGTATGCCAATGAGAGGTGAATGCTGTCTTGCACAGAAATCCTTCAGACATTCAAACTCTATTGCAAAAACATCTCATCTCTCTTTATCTACATTTAAACAGTAGCAATGAGAAGCCTAAGAGAGGGCAGGCAAATGCAGTAACACACGACAAGTGTGACCCAAGCCTACATGTACTATTAAATGTACAGGAAACACAACAGAACATAAAAAGACTGCTTTAGTACAGCAGGCTCTGGGGGCCGTTTGGAGGGCTACTTTGCACATATGTCTTTTTGCTGAGGAGAACGGGTTTCATAATCTTTGGATGGCCAGGATGGCCAACATGGAGTCTGTTTCATAGCCTTCAGATTTCATCACTGATTACAGTACTCTATGATGGCAACTGATGCACATCTATGATAGGTTCGGTTGATCTCTTTGGACAAATTAACAAAATAATCAGTTGGTCGGTCAAGTAAAAAATCAGTACACAGCAAATACAGCACGGGTCAAAACATGAAAAGGTTTGTTTACAGAATGGATGCTAAAGTCAAAGACAGCAAAATGGTTTAGGTTTATAGGAGGTAAACCAAAACCCCTTCCAAAATTATTTCTGTTAATCGTTTAGATGAAAACTTACACAAATATTCAAAGACTTTCTCTAAAATCCTCCATCGCATTTCAGAAGTACATGTATGGATTACATTCCAACTGAGCAGCAGTTTTCATTGAATGACCATAACAAAGTTAAAGTTACTTTCCTTAAGCATGTTAAGTGAGAAGAAACGAACCTTCCTGTGCTTCAGCTTTACACTGTATCTCATACGCAGACAGAATTCTTTGATCCAGGTCGCAACCATCCCCAGGTGTTTCATACAACTTGTGCAATATGTTATCCTGCAATAAAGTATATGAACAGGTATATCTTTTATGGAAGAAAATTAACATTTGTGTGACAATCACTTGAAGAGTGCTCTTCAAACAAGATTCAGGTAGTCAATGCATTGAAAAATCAGTTTAGTACTTACAAGTCAAGTAATTTCTGAAAACATCTTTTAACTTCCATTTAAATATGGAAGAATTTCTCGACTATTGAGCCTTTTTGAAGCCAGTGGTGGTAATACTGGTGGCATATCTTTATACCCAAAGTCCTTTCAGTGAGAGTCTGACTGTACTGAACTAGTGAATACATTTCCATCTTGCATAATTATTGTATAATAGTGTTTCCATACAGATATAATAAATAACGCATTTAGAAGCTGTTGTAATGTGAATATTGAGAAAATGCCTCATAGGTCATTTTTACGTCAGTTAAGAAATCACATGTCATATACATGTATTTCTCAAGGAAATTTGATGGAATCAACCAGTCTAATGAATGAGACACCTTCTAAGTGAATATTCTGCCCTAACCATTCTCAACAAGTCATATGAGGTGCCCTTTATGACTTTATTAGTACAAAAAAGAATCAAACGAAAATAATATAGATATGATGAAACTAATATTTATCGGACGAAAGTGAATAAATCCAAAACAAAACAAATATATACACGTAAAGGACGAAAGAAATATGAATAGGATGAAACTAATCAAGTATTAAACCATAAATAGGACAAAAGTACATTTAAAGAAAAAAAGTGATTTATGGAAGAAAACTGCTAAATATGACAAAACTCAAATATAAACGACAAAACTAATAAATATACATCTAGAACAAAAATAATATATAGGACAAAACTAAATATATAAGATGAAACTAATAAATATAAAACGAAACTACTAAATAGGACGAAGCGCCACTACCTCGATGCCAGATCGGTTCTGATATAGAGCAAAATGTAAAATATATAGGACAAAATGCAAATTACTGTATTTAAGATGAAGAGCCATCTACCAACTTGTTTGCAGATGTTGCTCCTAACCATGATGCAGAGCTTTCTCAAATGTTCCGAAATGTTAGGACCATACAGGAGAAAGCCCCTCATCAAGGTCAGGCCATACTGTAACGTTGCCGGTTGCTGCCAGGTCATGCAGACTGTGATTGACCACGCTGTTGACAGTCCACCTCTGGCACTGGCACTGCTGCCAGTGTCAGGCATTACGAGAGTAACACTGGCACCAGTAGCAGTAGGCCTAGGCCCATTGCCAGTGGGTATAACATCAGTCACAAGTAATTCATGGAAAGCAGGGTTTTGAAGGAGATTGTCAACTACTTCTCGTACACAAACGTTCATATTTTCCCAACTCTAGAGCCATGGTTCAGGATTACAGCTCCACTCGTTTTGACAAATCTCTATGACAAGTTAAGCGTGGTGTTGTGACGTCCACTGTATCATCAAGAGTGTCGGGGAAAGAGTTCCATAAGAGTTATTGACAAAACTAATTTTCCCTTAAAACGTCACAACAACCGTCATAAAGTGATTAGTTGTTCCAAAAAGTGAAATTTAGCAAAGAAAATTCTGGAGCTTTTTTTTTTTCAGAGAAGTCTCATAATTATAGTTTTGTACACGGGGGCATCAAGTGTTGTCCATGTAACTCTTTCCATGTCAGGCATGGCGCGGGCGTGCAGCGCAACCAGTCAGTAGATCTTATCTGCATGCATTTTGTAATCTTATATATATACTTTGTATATATAAGATTACAAAATGCATTCCCCAGTCCTTTCTAGAGATTGATATTCTCCTTCCCCTGTCATTTGGATGAATACCTGTATGTGCTTGAATATGCCAGCTGCTTCACGCAAACTTCTATGGACTTCTTTGGCCTCATCTTCTGAGATTCTAGTAGGTACATGTAAAGGCAAAGAACAGTAATATTATGTTACAAACATACTATGTTTTTAGCAGTGCAACTCTGATTAGTTTCATAATATTTAAAAAAACACATAAATGTTTGTTATTAGTTAGACAGAAAAGCTTTAGTTTTGGTCAGAGATTTAGGGGAGTATTATCCAAATCATGTAGTCTCCAGACTTGATATGCATGAACTTACTGCAGTGCATTCCTCACTAAGGTCCAATAGACCGAAAGGTCAGATTAATTCAAAAGAAAACTTACTCCACACTACTACTTGCAAGCTTGGCTGCATGCTTAGTCAACCACAGAGCAATGTTGAAAAGCATATTTATCTTCTCAAAGATGAAGTCATACTGATATCTGGAAGAAAAGCAAATCAAAGAACAAAATGCACCTGATGAGACAGACATCAAAGTGCGATATTAGAGGCTTCCACTGTTGAAGTGTTTGAGCATAAATTTGTCTAACGTTTTGCCAAAAGTCAGTTCAACAATTGCACGTAGATCTTTTGGACAATACTTTAATCAAGTAGTCGGTAAGTAATTCATCTGAACATCAGCTTATACATTTCACTATGAAGTACATGATGTAACTGTTCCCATGTCATTTGCAAACAGATCCCGTTTCAATCCAACTCAATATAAGGTAACAGTGGTTGGATACCTCAAAGTAAAAGTGGTTGGATACCTCAAGACTGTAATTTACCTTTCGGTACCTTGATCCCCGATCTACCAAATCCCCAGGTTTATTTTCTGGTTATGATCTCAACACAACTAGATTCAATCTGAAATCAGAGCAATGGTCATGCTACAAACTAGCAAAAACTTAGAATTTAGAAGCATATAGAGTATGTAGTACATGTACTTCAGTGCTCCTCCATACAGCAGCACTGAACCTAGGGGCAAAGTCACTCTGGATGGCCTTAGATTTACCCTGGAGAACTTTCATCGACAAGTTCAATAAACATAGTGTCAATTAACACAATTTGCTTCATGCAAACTATGTTCATCTTGCTCTGGGCACTTTCTCCCCATGGTTTCACACTTAAAGCAATGTACAGACGGGCACAAGCTTACACGTTACAAGTACATGAAAACAACTGAAACATTCATTACCAAATTCTTATTTTTTTTTAACTGAGGTTGTGAAGTTGTACAAATTAAGCTCAACTCTCTACTTTCCTTACTCTTCCATGCACTATCAACATTAACAACTTTTCACAACATACCACAATGTCAAGCCAGAAGTGGCATGAGGGAAGAAAGGATTGGGTCAACGTTTGAAATTTTTTGTAAAATTTGAATAGTACGACCGGTGTAACAAATTAGAAACAATAAATTGAAATTTTCTTACATGTTCTTTCCTCCAAGGGAATTTGTCCATGTGATCTTAACAGCATTACGAAGCTTGCTTTCGCCACTGCTTCTGCCTGCTTCAGCATGGTCAGTATCTTGCAGAGTCATTTTACCAACATCTTCTCCCATCTGTTGCTGGGGCTGTTCAGGAGATGTCTTTGAATCTTCTACTGCTGTTATGAAACCTTCAAGATAGCTTATATATTTCTCAGTAGCTTTCTTCACAACAACCACATCGTGACTTGGATCTCGGAGAAGATCTAGAAGTTGCGCTCTTGCCACACGGATGTCACTTAAAAGGAATTTTAATTTTTTTTAAATGTCTTCTTTATAAGCCAGTATGTGTAAGTTTTGAATATCAAAAACAACACATTATGCATTTCTCCTGCATACTCAAGTCAAATTTAAAGAGCACTAAGCTAAATGATTATCACAGGCTATCTCATGAACACACCATGTACTTATACATGTTGAACAATCATGGCCATAAACCCAAACCAAAAACTGAAGAAACAGAGCAGTTTGAGAATAAACACTTGACTCACAGAACTGTACAGTAGGCCAGTGGCCAACAACCTTTCAAAACAACAAAAGCTAAGTTAATAAAAGTGTTTGATAGTTACAGTAACCATAAAGTGACTTCCAAATTCTATAGTTATGGCACTGCACAATTACCACTACCAATCTAAATAAGGTTTCAAATTCAATTTCCATTTTATACAGTCATGGTCCTACGATAGCCTGATCAGTATGTATGCTTGTTCTGCATTCCCAGTGTGCTGGGAATTAAGTCCGCTCTGTACATTTTCTTTTCCCCCTCCTTTATGTCCTTTTTCTTAATCAGACTGCACGTTTACTTTCTATACATGTTTTTCTTTGGTAGATTCATAACCCTGGAGGATTTTTTAAAAGGAAATAAAATCCAAAATGATTTTATTCAACACTTTGCACAGCCTGACTGTCAATATTTTGCATTTTCTCTGTGAGTTTCCTACATGCATGGGAAAGAGTTCCACATACAGATGCCACTTGACACCCCATGCACAAACCCTATTATGAGTATGACTGGTCTGAAAAATTCTAAGATTTTTCTAAGTAAACGACTTGTTTTTACCCCCCTAAATTGAACTTTTCTTGACATGTTTTTGCTTTCTGAAGGCTAATAGGTCACTGTAGTCTGTAGCCAGTGTAGGGAATAATTACTATCGTCCGTATATGGAACTCTGCCCCATGCATGAAATGTACGAGAATTATTAATCATGAGATCGTCTCCCAAATTCTAACGTTAGCCTGTGCGGCTAGCCTTACATTTTACCAGGTAACGTTTGGCCTAGACCCGTAAACAGGGCCCCCACGACGGAGGAGTATTCATTGGGCCCTAGCCTCGTTGGGGGCCCTGTTTACGGGTCTACGTTAGGCCTACTGTCGTGACTATGCATCATGGCCATGGCAATGTTTAATGTTTGCAGTCTCTCAATGCTCATGACAATAATTTGCTGACTGATCCCTCTGCAACATCCCGTACTTTTTCCTGTATAGGCTTATTTTACGTACCTACAAAGTTTCCTTGCAGACGAAGTCGAAGCCTGACGCCCAAGATCAAAATTAAGTGGAACAGTGGCCTTCAGAGGATTCCTGTGGAACCAATGCGCCATCTTGGTATCTTATGCTTATTATGGGTTTTCAAATATCAAACATGTAGGCAAGTCAGCTGCGTCTCCACGGAGGTTTCGTGTTGGTCTACAGTGTTTATATTAAATAGAAATGTTTCAATATAAGACTGAATTGTATGTATTTTTATGTTTCGATGGTAAGCTTACTATCTGAGTAAGTATTGCGCTAACGACTTCAAAATCTGGGGATAAAAAGAAATCACGCGAACCCGAGACGATGCAGCCGAGTTTTGTACATTACGTAGTTAGCTATAAATAACGCCAGCATGTTTAGAATGGGTAGTCTCGTGATCAAGGGTGATACTATTCAAGGGTGATACTCATAAGTACGGAACTCCCTTGCCCATCCGTATCCCATGGTACATGGTGGACCTACATTGCGACTAAAACACAATGTGCGTTGCATTGAGCCGTCCGGCCGGGAGCGAATATTTTGACGGATATGCAACACTTTGCGCAAGTGTTGACGCGTATATATGGAAAGGCGCATAAATAACAGTAGACCTAGGCCCCTTTTCCAATACTCGACTTGGGCTCCGTCTCAGGCTTCGGTCCCAAATCCAATCCCCGATTGTGGGCCTGAAGCGTTTAAATTAAATTGGATTACTGTAATTTTTGGCTCTCTTGCATCTTATTTGATGTTTTGTGGCACTATTAAACTAATTACTGCTCTTACAGCTTCAACGTCAGCTAGTTAAAAAACAGTTGAAGCCTGAGACGGAGCCGAATTTGAGTATTGAAAAACGGCCCAAGAGTATCGATAAAATGAAGACCGTACGTCCAACCATGGAGAAATAAAACACAGGGTCCAACTTGCTTGGGCTAGGAAGTGGCCTACATTGCTTTGCGGGAAACCTTTCTAAAAGCCAGCCCAAGGTGTGGATAACCATAGACCTGGAGGAGAGTATCAGTGTCCAGTGTGAGGCAGAGAAAACAGCATCTCAAAGGAAATACAGTTTTAAAACTATCATCCACAAGCTTGCTTGGGCCAAGGAAAACGTGAATATTTCATCATAAAAGATAGGGTGGACTGTAATTATTGGTTTATATGTCTAATTTAATCCCCCAAAAAGGAAATGGTCATAACCTGAGGTTCACGACCCCATTCACGGCCCTTGAAAGGCAGAAAAGCAGATGGCCACTTTTTGGCCGACTATGTAAAATTGCTCCTCCGGTATGGAAAAAAAAAGCAAAAAAGTAGAATTCGCGTTTTGTTGTAAAAACTTTTGATCCTAATTTCTGCCTGCTCGAAAGGTGAAAAGTAGATGGCTGCTTTTCGGCTGCCAGTGAATGAAGAAAAAGTAAAATCTGCTTTTTTCTTGAAGCAGAATAGCAGAACTATAGAAAAATGCATAAACAATGTTTGTTCTGCTTTTTGAGGTGGCAGAAAAGTAGAAAAGTCGAAATTGCATGTTACCACAACATAAAATCTGCTTTTCTCCCATTCTGATAGCAGAAAAACAGATGGCCACTTTTCGTCCTCCATACTATACAGTGCATGACAGTACAGAGTATACAGAGTAGGAACACTGGTGCCATGCATTAGGCCTTCAGGACACAACACCAGCAAGCTTGTCCAAAAAAGGTCGCTGTGGTCTGACCCCACGCGGTCACCGTGGTTTAACCCTGTTGCTGAGGAACACATCAACTACGGCAAACATTCACTCAGGTAAAGAGAGATGAGACAGCTCAAGGACGAGTCTTGGATTAGGCTTTACCAATGCAGTGAGGTGTGGTCAACCCGGACGTTCCATGCGTAGTAGACCATGAGTGACCAAACACAGTCATGGCAGTGTTTGTACATATCCGCAAAAGTATTCTCAGAATGTAAATTTTAATGCGAGCACTATAAAATGAGTGTACCAGAAGAAACATCAATGATCAAAAGTGTCGGAGGCATAGCGACAGCAAGAACGGATAGGGGAGCCAATGTGGTCCATGCCTCCCCCCCCCAAAAAAGATGATGCTTTTTAATAAATAGTCATGAAGCTATCAAGTGTCTTACATTGAGGTTGTTTTGTATGGAAAGAGCCATTTCGTTCAGGGAATTGTTTCAGAGCAGCTGCTAAATTGTGACTGGTGAGATCAGTTAATGCCAAAGTGCACGGGGCTGCTGCTTACTTCTTTTGCCCCCACCCCTCCCAAATTTGGGTCTGGATCCAGCCTTGAGTGGTGGAGAATTTCTCCTCGGGCAGTCTCAAATAAAATCTCAAGAAGCTCTCCGATCCACAGACAATCTGCATAATGCCCAAAAATTCATTTTCATTCAACAACGTCGAATCACACAGCAAAGCTTACGCGGTAGGCACTTAGTCACCCCCGAGTCATAATAACGCGTGCTGTCAGGACGGGTCATCAAAAGCCAAATGGTGGTAACCGTTCCAATTAATGAATATACATGACCGAAGATAGAATCCAATCATGCGCTTTGAGATTTACCACCAATAGATCAGATTGCTTATAAATTCTAACTTAAGAGCTCATATACATAAATGGCAGGTGGAGGCAACAAGCTTGAGCGGCCCACTGAAAATGTACAGGGGCACAAATTTCAACGTCATTTTCTTCTCTCAGCTTCAGCATCTTTTTCACTTTTGCTTTTGACATCAATTAAATGAAAATCTGTCTTATGATTTTGTAGAAATACAGGTACCCATTTTCTTAGATGGTGTATCTAATGACGTGCAGTACATGTAAGCTGATGCACGCGGGTATGATACAATTGAAATTGCACAGATATGCTCATATTGAATGTCTTCACAAGCATGCCGATTTTGTTTTGTTTCACTTGTTTAAATTGGGCACAGGACAGCTGAGATCGGTGAGATGGGCTGAAAGCACAGCTCTTTTTAATTGATTTTTTCCACGAAAAGAGTATGAATATATAGTCTTTCTTTGTTCACTAACCCATTAAGATATTCATTTCAGCCTTTTCTTCGACACTGTTTCAATGCACATAAGTGAACGCAATACCATACAGTACAACTGAGGCTGCCTGTGGCAGCCACCTTCCCTGTCATTCTTTTTGTCATGGTGGATATACACAAAAGGTCTACCTGTGTATCCCTGTTGAACAAACACAATGACTGGGAAAATGGCTGTCATGTACAACCTTTATTCATTCAGAGTGGTCTTTACACACATTTCACCCATACATGCATGTATCCTTTGTTAATCCACAATTCAAAAGTGATTTTGAAATATCATCTCAACTACCTGTTACACCATAAGCAATCACTTGTAAATCAAAAGCGTACCGGGGGGGAGGCCAATTGGGTTATCCCCCCACCAAAAAACCCAAAAAAACAAACTGTGATGCTTTCCATGCAGCCAGCCAGTGATTAGGTCCAGTCAATTAAACGTCTACTCACAGATGTGGTTATGAGAAATGGGATAAATTCTGGCTAGGGAATAACTTTGTTACAGTTCATTCATATACATATACATTTAGGCTTGGGAGGACTGATATGATGCAGTCACTTTTTCAAACTTTCCCCTCCAAGTACGTGTCATTGTTATCTGCCAGTGTTGCCTCATCTAGTTCAGCAATCCTAATTTACACAAAATGAGGACTTTCATGTAAACAGTGAAGTACTATCAATCAGATTTCACTAAAAAACAACATAAGGAAAAAGCAATGCTGAATTTTATGGTTATCGGATATTCACTAAATATATTGTCAATAGAATTTCCTATGTTGATTTTGTTTTACTTTTAATAAATCTTAATCAAAATTTTAAAAATAATACAAAGACTTTGTTTTTAAAAAAATGAGATGTTATCAACCCTACCCCTGACTGTATGTAAAATCATACTGAAATTGGAGGATTGAGAACAGTTGGGGTTAGAATTTAAATTCTTGATTTCAGAATTATTTACAAAGAAAAATTTACAAAAAATATGTGTGAAACAGTCTTGATGTTATTATAGCTCGAGTTGGTTTTGAATTATTTTAAAATATGAGTGAAACAATTCATACTGTTTTCTTCATACTGGGCTTTTTTGTAAGCAAACCCTTACATTTTCGCCATAAGGAGAAATTTGTCTTTCTGAATGAGATCCGGTGTGATGTCAGCTATACAGGTACAGCCTAGGAATGAAATAGAAACAAACATAAATTGCACTTTTCATGTTGGTATTTTGGTCTCAGGTCTACATAAAGTAGGTAAATATAAGCACACTTATTCCATGGTTGTACGACATACCCTCTGTCATTACACCAATTGGGGGGATGGACAGCAGGAAGTCCAGATAACTCGACCCAAATTTCCCCAAAATAGAAGGCCTCACCATAATGCTGTGAGCACCTACACACACAAACATGGGTGTACAGGCGTGTCACACATAGTGTGGACCTCTGCACAACAGTAGTCTGTATAATGCAGGGTACGATGGCGTTGTGTGGACTTGCACACGTCCACACAGTGTTTTCCCCTTTCTGTAAAACAGCTTCAGAGGCATTTTGGGCTGAAGGTTATTTGTGGCAAAATGAAGAACATTCCAGGAAATCATCATCAAAAATCCAGCTCGAAGGAGTTATTCTAGTTGGAGAAAAACGAGCATTTACCTTAACCAAAGGAGAAGACAGGAATGTCCACACTTTGTATGTAAAACACGTGTGTGTGTGTACTTATGTGACATACCTCATGTAGTCATTCCTTTGTTTTTGTACAGTTAAGACAACTCGGAAAATAAATTTTTCTTGAACTGGGGACAAGATTTTCAGCTGGATTTTTGTATAATGTTTCCTTGACTGTTCCTCTTCCTTTATGACAGATAACCCGAACCCCCAAATACCCCTAAACTTCTCTTCAGAGAAGGGGAAACATCCTGTGGACATGGGTAAGTCCACAGAACGTCCTCCCATCCTGCATCATGTGGACACCTTTTTTTCAAAAGTCCACACTAGGTATTTAAGGTTAGTGAACACACACACACTACCTCAACCAATCAGTCATGACGTATTAATTTCATAAAAGTAGCAAGCAACCTACCTGAAAGGGCCATAGCAAGCTTGAATTCATCTCTGATGAGCTCAAGAACCTCCCTGACTCCTGCTTCACCCTATTGAAAGATAAAAGGAAATAGAATTCCAACAAAGCAATTTTGAATGATTAAGTGTAAAACCAAAGAGAGATGTGGCGATGATAATGGAACTTCACCTTTGGCTTGGTCCATTATTGTTGCCTGGCCCCCATCCAATTTTGAATATCTAGTTAACAATTGCTCATATTTAGTCCCATTCTCAAATAACTTTTTCACTAAAAAAATTAAATCAAAGTCCGAAACTAATCCTTTTCGAATAAATATGTTAACCTTGTGTTTTGTGAAACATCTCTCTACCCACATCTATGGTATGTACCTACAAGTACAGTACCAAAATCTCACTTCATGGAAAACAGCACACACTGTGTGTACTATGCAATGCGGTTCGCAAGAACCAGTGCAAAGGGAAGTTTCATTTCTTTGAAATATTTCCTCATGTGAATGCATTTAACAGGTCACTTTGCATAATGACAGGCCATTTTCAACATCTACATGTAAGTATCATATTTGGCTTTGGGATTTCAGTTGCAAAAGTTAAGACACTTCACTCTGCAGACTTCAGCTTGATTTGAAATGATCTTTAACATGCTTCACATTGTGCCAATGTTAGGTGATAAAGAGCATTTATATCAAGTACAAACTTGTGTTTCCTTTATGTATTTCATGTCTAATTTGTACTTGCTGGTAACTCTGTCCTATAGATATTAATAGATATGAAAATGGCAGAAGAATCCTCAAATTAACTTACATTATAAGCCAGTCCCCAAAGACTAGGCCGACCAATAAAAACAGCCCTTGCACCTAGTGCAAGAGCTTTCAGGACATCATCAAATTAACTTACATTATAAGCCAGTCCCCAAAGACTAGGGCGACCAATAAAAACAGCCCTTGCACCTAGTGCAAGAGCTTTCAGGACATCAGTGCCAGTCCTCACTCCTCCATCTAGGTAGACTTCCACGTTGGACCCACGCACTGCTTGCACCACTTCATTCAATGCATCTATCTAGAAATTTAGAATGATGGAAAGTATTATCTACACAATTTGTCCCGACTTCATCAAATTCCACAACCAGGCATGCAGTAAACATAAATGTAAGAGTGTACATGGTACCTTACCACTGCAACTCTACAGGGAGTGTACATGGTACCTTACCACTGCAACTCTACAGGGAGTTTGATACTATGATGCTATAGACATAAAACATATGTAGGGAAGATGACGAATGATCATGTACAAATGGTTCAGGGCCTTGATTAAAGGCTCCTTTCTTTTTGTTTGTTTTACAATATAAAATTAAATGCAATGAGTGAAAAATGAAAAAGCTTTTACCCATATCATTTCTCTCCACCTCATAGGTACTATTCACGATGGGCCAAATATTGTCAAGGTCAGATTTAGGAGGATTCATTCGTTTTAGATTTAACTTTCATTTCAGTTTCCCCCCACTGACACTAAATAATGCCCATAATAGCCATTGCACATGTCACATGACTCTTTTTCAATGACACCAATGAATCAAGTAAAAGGTTTACGGTACCCCTATGCAAGGATATTTCTTTCTGTGATTACATGTATGTGTGTTCTGAAAGGAACCGGAGGGTACTCAGTGCTTCAGAAAGTTACTGCCGCCTTCACCATAAAAAGGTTCAAAGCTCATCTGATACCCAAGAATGCAGACTTACAGTTGCTAGGACACCATCAAGCTGTCTTGCACCATGATTGGAAACCAGAATACCAGAAACATTGTGTTCAACAGCAAGTTTTGCATCCTCAGCTGTGATAAAAGGTGGGATTGAGATACAAGAAAGCCAAAAAGTCAAGTTGAAATCTTACTGAAACTGTGCCAATATATACAGAGTACAGATTGTTTCTACAACTTACTACCAAAACAGTTCTCAATTCATTGTAGTAATAATGAAAAGATCCTACACAACTACTAAAATTTCTTTGTACCACTTTTTAAGAGTGGCACAACAGCATGCACTAACATTGTTTTAAAACATACGCCAAACCCTCCTAATCCACCTGACCCTTCTTGGTTTCTCCAAAATTCTGAACCAAAGTATAAGTACCATGAAAATACCAAAACTAAAATTTAAACGTTAAGCTGGTATTTAACAGAGTAACAGTCATGTGCCCTTTACCTGTTAGTATTCCTTTAAGAATGATAGGCAGGGAAGTGATGCTTTTCAGCCATTCAATGTGTTCCCAGTTGAGGGATGGATCTATTAATGATGCAACATAAGCAGCCAAGCCAGAATCCTCACTGCTGTGCACCCCACTGGAATGTAGACGACTCAAGTCGAAGTTGGCTAACCTACAATGCATAAAACAAGTAACAATAAATTGACTGGAGCTTACCCAGAATCTACAAATTTCATTTCTGTTCATTGTTGTTACAACTGATAGTGTAGTAGCCAGCAGAAAATATATCACCAATTAATAATGGTACATGTATCTCCAACCAACTGACAATGTGTCAAATTTCTGACAATGTTTCCCCTCCAATAGGCTGTTGTGGCTTTATGCATACACCCCACCCTATTTTGCAAAAGCATAATGATGCCATTAGCTTGGTCAAGTTCAGGTCAAAGTTACGTGAATGTAAACATACATGCGTTTGAACAACAATGACGACTTCTTCAAGAGTTGATTTTCTACCATGTGCAGTAGCTTTAAGTTCGTTTGGAAAGGAAAAATTAAGTGTATGGGGGATATAATTTCTTTAAGAATGGATACATGTACGTGTACAAAGTCGCATTTGAAGTTTTGAAGGATGGCCAGGTGCCAGTGCGGGCAAAATTCTACAGAAGTATGCAGAAAAGCAGTATACCACATTCCCTGAATGTGTGCTTAGAATGAAATGGTTTCATAGCAGAGAGCAAATGCAGCAGCATAGCTGGGTAAGAATACTCATTAATACAGTACATACATGTACAATTTTCAGTTATTCCTATTTGAATGCCTAAACACAGAATCAACGGAGCTACATTAAAGTCAGGAGGAGGCCTTCGTCACAAAACATTAAGGCAATGTGAAAAGTCAAACATTGCTGTTCTAATAATAAAATATATAGATTTTCTTCTTGCTTTTTCTTTAGAATATTATTCAGCATTTCTTTGGGATAGATATATAAATACATGCAATTATAATGTATATCAATCTCAGTCTTCTTTTGAATATAATTACAATTTTATTTTAATTTAATTAACTTTATTAACTGCAGTAAAGAAAGACATCCCACATCTCTCTCTTTGGTTAGCTGATAAAACTAAACTTTGGTTTGCTGATTTGCAACACAAATGTACAATTGTCCAAAGAGGTTCTGATTTGTGTAGTCATTTACAAGACCGATCCTCAAGTTGCAAATCAGCGGAAATGGTCATGAATGGAATACACCATTGACGGGGCCCGGATGGACCATGGAGACAACACAGTCTGTGCCTGGAAAAATCCATAATCCTGAGCATGCCAACTGAAATTTGAAAAAGGGGTCAGATCAGGTGGGAAAAGTGCTGACTGTACAGTACCTATTACTACTTCATTTTTACCTTCAGGAATTTCAGACAAACACATGTATGTGTACGTAAAGAAAAAGTAAAATTAAAAATGAGCATTGCCTAAATTGCAAGGACATTGCAAGACCACCACAAAACATTCACATTTCATGCTATGGGCATCCTTATAGGAAAGGAGATACATGTAGGCCTACCAAGTCAAGTTGATGTAAACAAAGTTAAGTACATGTAAATAAGTACATGAAGGCAACACACTCATCCTTATTTCTCGCATTAATTTTATTTCTCATTTCTTGTATTAAATATGGGTACTGGTAGAAAGAAATATAATGTCATAAAAAGTAGTTTTAGGCCAGGGTCACAAGTGTCTGGAGATCTGAAATGGAAATATTTCCAAATGCATTGATGCACATGTAATGTGTACATGTACATTACAATACACATGCATGTACATGTACATGTGCGCGAGTGCATACAACCAGCATCCAGGGAGCTTGCCAAAAAAAAATCCACAAGCTTACTTGGGTGGGACTCAAAAACACAACCTACAGTGTACTGCTTACTTGTGCAGACGTCTCAACTCCTCAGTTGTCAAGTGGTTAAAACATGTACACTAGCGAGCAGGAGGTCATGGGTTCGAATCCCACTCAATCCGTAATTTTTCCAGGTTATACATTCATGTATCAAGCTGAAAAATCAAAATACCCTGAAACGTTCTAAAACTGAAAGATTTACCAATGTTATAAGGGTTACGTTACTCTGAGGGATCCTTACACCCTGTCAACAAATGCATCTAACTGGTACATCCAATGGAATAACCCATATAGTTTTGCTTGTCAGCATTTTCTCCACGTCAAGTGTCATAGCTTACCATACACATTTACATACTGGTACTGTCATTAAACTGTAATGCATTTGGTGATTATTTATTGGAATTTGGAAATTATAGCAGATACATAAATGCACAATGGTTGCTTTGGAATTAACTGCACATGTGCAGGTTGTTATCCCATCCACACATACATGTACAATGTACATGTACTTACACTATATGATACATGTACATGTATGTACAATACCTGAGATGTGGTGGTAATGCAAACTTGTTCCTGACATCAGCTCTTCTCCGACCCAGTATGGGTGTATCGACTGTTACAAACAGGGCTTTATAACCCTCTCTCTCTGCCCTTCTAACAAGGTCTCTGATGACATCTCGGTCTTTGTAGACATAAAGCTGGAACCAGCGAGGACCGATGGGTGAACAACCTGCAGCTACTTCCTCAATACTTGACGTGGACCAAGAGCTTAAGATAACACCTGTTCCCAGGGATGTAGCAGCTGAAAAAGGAAAGGGAGTTTATAAGCTTTCCATTGATTTCCTACTTTCATCTCTAAACTCACAGATTGGTTACAACATCCCTATCCTATTTCAGTATCCTGAACAGTACCACAGTCCAGTAGTGGTTTAACAAGCTGTCCAAGAAATGCACCTTTGCCATGAAATTGTGCTGGTAAGGACAGTAGACATGTTCAAGGTGCCAGGGATCAAAGTTTGACTTTTTGGGGGCACTGCCATTTTGGTCTCAAGAACTGAAGACATGGGACATTTTAAGGAGCACCAAGGCCAATATAAGGGGCGATAAGGCCAACATTTCTACAGAATAAAGGCTTGGAGGCCAACATGTAAAATATTCTGCAAAAAAAGTTTGAAAGCTGGAAAAACAAAATGGTGTTTTATGGGCTTGAGCTATCACATTTAAATATTTTATAACCCAGAATTCACTCTCAAAATTTATTTCAACAAAACATCATATAACAAGATCGAACAGGCAGATTTTCTGGCGAAGCATTCCTTAATTTACAGAAAACTAATTCATACAAAAGAATTTACAGAAAACTAATTCATACAAAAGAATTCCAGTGAATTAAACAAAGACAACATGTTTTGTTTAAATTTTGACACATCTTTTTTGACCGCACAGCACAAACGTTATTACTATTATTATTTATTCAGAAATCAATCAACTCAATGACAAGTCCAAATGTAAACAAACAAGAGAGAAGTGATAATGCCCACTGCGTAATCATGCGCTGGCACATTGATATGAGACAGTTTAATCGATTCTAATTCGTCAAGAGTCTGTGTGCACGCAGCTCACCATGCACGCGCCAAGTCCATATACGGAGATTCTTTTGGACAACTTGCACAACGAATATACCATACAATGGATGGGGTGTTCTGGAAAAAGAAAGTAAAATTCTAAAACAAACTCATTGGAAATCCACCATATTGGCTTTTTACACAACAGATATAGTTGGTTCAGTAATCCCCGTGTATGTTGCTTAGAACTTTTGGGCATGTTGCCTCAGCTCTTATGTCATGCAGTTGATTTCAAAAGCTGCATTGACGCAATTCTACAAGCTGCCAGTTCAAGGCTCTGCATGCCTAAAGCTGCAGCGTGTAAAGAGAAAGTACTGATTTCTTTTGACTCTCTGACTAAAAAAGGTATTTATGAATGGGAATCAACATGTGCTTGGCCAATCTTAAACTAATGTTTAAGACCAGCTCAGGAGACTTACCACTGATAATACACTTAGTCGCGTCTATTCTCCTTAGCCGGTCTTAAATGCACGTTTAAGGCTGGCCAAACACATCTATTCCCTTATTACATTTCCTTAGCAGACAAGTATTTTGTTTTATCACAGTTTACCAACAGTCCCTGTGTAGATGCCCAGGAATGTGAGGTACAGACCAGCATGGTCCTCTGGTACAGTTCACATAGCTCTTGTATTCTGTTTTAGTTTAGCTGATCTACAGAACATACATAACAGAAGTTTCTCGAAATTGCAACTTTTTACAGTGCTGGCCAGGCTTTACTGCCATGTTGCTACTATACACTTTCATCTCAGTAACTTGAAGAGCATGTTCCTTGCGGTCAGAGTCTTCATTCAAGTTGTCAGTTCCCCTATCAACCTACATGTACCTCTTGCAGTTGCTACCTCCCCTTCAGGGTGTGCCATTCGTTGCATTGCTGTTGGAGATACAGCTATGGGGAAGGCAATTTCCTGGCCGAGGATACTAGTGCGCAAGTCTCGGTTGGAAACATCCCGCAAGTGTTTGGGCCTTAATCTGTACCTACGAGTATCAATAAGATGAAGATATACACAATTAAGAAATGTAAAAATACACAAAATAAGAAATGCTGAGACAATCTTGCTTCTCAACAGCTGCTGTCAAGGAGTAGATACCTAATTGCCGAAGTCCTTCCCCCCCGTCTTCAATTAGCATCCTTCTTCCACTAGGAAGCTGTCCAGATGATCAAGTTAACTCCAGTTGTTGAGACCAAGACCAACTGTTGAGCACCTTTACACGTACCGTTTTACAAGTACTACTGGTACTTGGCCCGAACATAAAATCTACTTTATGTTAGTGCAAAATTTCTTCTTTAGTGATATCACACAGAAATTTGCATTTGAGAGTCTTATCAAGGAACCAAGAAAAAGGTAATCCTGATTCTATGAAATGAAGTTAGCCAGTTTACCATTTTGTATGACAGAGTTGGAAGCAGCAAAAATTGAAAAAAAAAAAAGAAACAAGAAAATAGAAAAAAGAGACAGAAAACAAAAAACAGAAATGTCAAATTTAAAATAATTAGAAAATGTCTGGGCATGTTCAAAATTTGGTTGTCAATCTGGTTAGTAATGAGGCACAATGCTGTCCACAGAAACGGTACAATTTGTACATATGTATCTGCTTCCACATGTACTGACAAAGTCTCAAGTACTCAAAATGCATGCAAGCCAACTTCTGCTACAAACATGTAGCAGATAACAACTGTAGCATATTGAAACTATCATCCAAATAATGGAGCATGGGAAGCTTCATTTTATGGCCATGATTTTATTTCCTAAAAAGTGCTGTTCAATTGACTTTTTCAAATTTCAAGAGCCATGGATAACACTGACAAGTGTCACCAAGAAGGACTGTCCAAATTTTCTTCCAATGTAGCTTGTATTTTTGGTCTGCCCTGTGCATCAAAAATTTTTTCAAGAAAAATCCCAAAATAGAGGGGCTGGACACACTACTGATATTCACTGAAAATAGAGGAGATAAAAAAAGTACATGAGGGTAAACAGAGAGAGATGACATTTGACACTTCTAAATAACAAGCAACTGTTTCTTAGGCCATGTCTGAAATGTGCTTCCAGAGCTATGACTACATGTAGGTCTATCGTCTGCACGTCACCGCGTATTTCCAATGGAGTTAAGACCTAGACCTAGCTCTAAACAATAGATTTGTATGCAGCCTTATCTTCTGAAAACCTTATTTGATATGTAGAACCATATTTGAGCAAAACATACTGTAGCATATGAAGGCTCGAGGTGGCACTTTAAAAGGTCTCTTCAAAGCATATTTTAACAAAATAAAACCCTAAAAAATTTATCTTTGTATTTCAGATACATGTATTGTTAATGTGAAAGCCCAAAGCGGTGATTGAGCATAGCCTGGTCACCTATTTAGAATTGTTTGAATAAAGATGTTGTTCTTTTTTGTTTTCTTTCTTTCCTTCTGTTTTCCAGACAATTCTCCATGGCTGTTCTTCAAAAGTGTTTTTGATACAAATGTATAAAGTTACACCTTTGAACATATCGATCCTGATCCTGTGTGGCACATATTACTCTGACATCATCATGATGTAATAGGCCTAAGCTGTAAAATTATACACAAATAAACTGCAAAAGTACTTGTCTTACTTTTGCAGCAAGTGAAAGAGTGAATTTAGGTCTTCATTTTTTTGTGTATAACATCACTAGACCCCTGCTTCTGGTAGAAACCAAAAAAGCCCTCTAATTTAAAATTGCTTGCAATTATGTTAGTTTAGACAGTACTGTTCAAGATATACCAGTGACATCATAAAATACATGTATTTGAGCATCCTCTGGTGACAACTTGAAAAATGCCAATGACTGGGGACTGAAAAGAGATGGAAAGAAAAGAGATACCGGTAGTGGTCCACTGCAAAAACCTGCTGAGTCAAGCTACAGGCTGTAGCCCACAGTAAGCCTACCACACTGCGGGCCCGGTGTAATGTGAATGGGCGCATACATAACACTGACTTGGGACTAGCCTTTACTTTAGTCACTAGCACATGTGGCTACCTAGACACATGATGCTCGCACCAATTTAAAAAAAACACATACACCCCTACACACAAACAATAAACAAACGAACAATCAAACAGCCCTATACTGTAACCCAACAAACAACCAAACACCCCAACAAACACAAAACAGAGCAAGTGGCATGGCTTCACCAATTTGTTTGTCTAACCGTGCCAAGTATTTGAATATTCAATCAATTTTTGAATATTCGATTGGTACTTTTCGAAATCAAATATTCGAATGCAAAGTTCATGAAAAAGAATGGAGAATTTTCTTTTTTACATGAGAAAAATTGCACTATGGTGGCTTGTTTCAAGCAGCTTCCAGACACTTGAAGGCAGCTGATGCCCAACGATCCAACGTAGAATTCATCCTAGAGTATGGCAAATAGCCTTTTAACAAATAAATACGAATGTACCGAGAAATCATGATGTATTGATGCCAACTTCATTGAAATGAAATATGATGAAACCTTCAAGACAATATTTCAACCTGAAATCGAATGACTGGAGGTCCACAGACAAAGATGGCTGCATCTGACAAAATCGTAAGTACAGTAGTCTCTAAGCGACAACAAATTGTGGCTTTGGAGACATTTTTTATTACAATAATATACAGAGATGCAACAGGGTCTGCTCAAAAAAATTGAACTTTTTTAATTGTGGCAAATAAAATCGAAGCTCACGGCCTAGCCTTGTGAGCGGCAAGCATAACAACTAGGTTTCTCTTCTCTTGGAGCTACATTCAGTTCTGCTTATTTTCACCTTTTGATTCAATGGTTTTTCATTATGTCTTGTCTTTCTAACATTTTGCCATGTTTTAACGAAATCTGTAGCATGACGTATCAGAATTTTTACTTAAGATTTCCGTGCACAGTTACGTTGTAGACATTGATCGACAGGTCATCCGGCAAAAACATGCAAGCACGCACATGACCATGATGTAGTTGGTCCCCGACTTAAGCACAATATTTCTATTCATATAATCACTGCGATCGGGAACCACTGACTGGTATAGTCGTCTTGAATTCAAGGCTGTGTGATAAATCTGCTCAGCACGCTAACCGCCCGCATACGTTGCACGGTGCACTATGGGGGAAATCGACTCACCTACATGTAAGGTGCGTGTTCAAACAGTTCACTGGGCTGTGCAGTATTTGGCATGCGTGGTGCTGCTGAATCTCAAGTCGTTTTGACGATCATCATGCAGGCGCAGAAAGCGTGTGTCGCATTGCACGCAAGCTTGGCACACCTTGTTTTTTAAGGCTTCTAAAGGGACAGAGCTACACATGAATGCTGTGCATGCAGTGCACAACTCACGATGCATTCAGGGTGAAAAGAGATACATTCTTGTTCGTGTTTTCTTCTCTGGCCTCTTCTTTCAAGCCAGAAGGAAAAAAGGAATTTCACAACATAAAATCATTGTGTTGGACAACAGTGCTGGGAATTTCGTCACTTCAAAGAGACAATCTCCAACAAACATGTACCAGTGTGTGGATGTACTACTTTTACCTCAAATCTCACAAAAAATGAAACTAGTTTCAAGTTTACCATGAATGGTACCCGCCTAGAACCCTCCTGCTGATAACAAAACTGCAGTTTCATTTTTGTCAGGTCAGGGTCTTCAGACTGACCAGTAACAGCCTATTGGTTACCCTAAAATGTTCATATTTTGTTCAGCTTTACATAAATTTGGGTTTATAAGCATAAATTTGGAAAACAACCCGATATTTTATAAGAATAACCTCGGTCAGCATAGCCAGCTTCATAAGTATGGTGGGTGCGGTCATCCAAGAACTCTTTGAAGTGTTTAATTTGTTTGTAGATTTTTACTGATTAAAGATGTCTAAATACACTGATGAAACAGCAACTTATCTTGGTAAATGAAGAATACAAAAAGAGGATTGCCTTACGGGCATTATGATCGTGACGAACAGGTGAAAGCAATCCTATAGATCAGAAACTCAGTTTGGGTATGCTTAGGCAGTGATGGCACACATGCTGGGCGGGTAAGTACAGGTAGATGTAGCAATCATACACAAATTGTGCTGCTGATTGGCCTTTCCATTTTTCCATTTGTAAACCAAAAATATAATAGCAGACTGAATTTGTAATTGGCAGTGACAAATTGAATTTTAGAGCAGTGGACAGATAGTTAGACTGTGTCAACTTTTAAAAAATCTCTTAATTCATACAGGTGTTAGGGGGTGGGGGATGGGGGAAGGAGATGCTCTCTTAAAACCCTCAGCCTCACGTATCGGAGGAAGGCCTACTTTGATTTGCCTCACATCAAGCAGCTGGAAACTTTCATGTGTAGTATTTTTGGAGTCCTTTGTAATCATTAGTGCCTTCTGATATTTTTGTCAACTTGTTTCACCAGTGAAGAAATGATGCCAAACATCTTTGTCAGTGAGCTTAATATTCACTGGCATATTTGGGAGGCTGAAGTATAATACACATGGTGAACTGAATTTGGTCACCTTCTAGAGGAGGTACTCTCCACATCAATAGAGTTCCTTATTATGGGTGATTTTAACGTACACGTCAACAAGACAGATTCTCGTGAGACAAGGGCATTCATCAATCTCCTTGAGTCATGTGATCTGAAGCAGCATGTCAAGGAGCCTACTCATAACCGTGGTCAAATGTTAGACCTCATTGTCACTCGTTCATCTTCTGACATTATTAGAACAATTGATGTTTTTGACCCAACAATGTCAA